GTAGGGAAAAGATGAACTGATCATCTTCTGCCTTGATTTCTGAGACTTATTACAAGACAGGTGCACCTTCCCATCCAATATAAGAACAGTGGTTTGAAAGGCCTGAAGTCAGGCACAGGCCAGCACAAAAATCTAATTCAGAGATGTCTACACAACAGCCATTTCCACCATAGCCATCAAACATTACCTAACTGTTTATGACAAATTTAAGATGTAGTATAGGCATGATGCCCCAGTCATAACAAGCCACAGAAAGCAAGCAAAAAAATCATGGGATGTACAAGGGAATTTATGAGAAAAATTCCAGATAATCACATGCAGATCTTTCTCCACACTAGATAGAAAGGAAGGAGTGTAATAATAATAATAACAGTAATAAGGGTCCCTGCAAACCTGACTGGAAGGAAAACTTACTCTCAACTCCAAATCTGACAAAGACCTTAATTTTGAGTTTGATGCAAGACATCCCAATGCAGTACCTGAAAGATCTGTACTCCTTGGAGCTATGGTACATCCCATATCTCATCCCCACTTTAGCTGTAAACCGTTCTTCAGCACATAATGTATAGGAGCAACAGAGTTACCAGACAGCAGATTTTTTTCTAAATGTCTGGATGTGTCCATTCACCTTTTTTAAACCTTCAGGAAGCAGTCACATTCACGATGCAAGTATGTGCGGACTTTTCTCTCCTATCTATTCACCCATCTATATATCTAGTTATTGCACAGCGACTTATGCTTGATATAGTAATAAGAAGCCAAGGTTAGAGATGCTCCATGTACCACTGCAGCATTTGTTCAAGAGCAATGGTGGTCTCACAAAAAGTAATTTTTAGAAGTATGATTCTTTAAAATGTTTAATTAGCCACAAGAGGGAGCTACATACTCCCAGGAATGTAAGGAAGAACATGAACATCTCCTAATTAAGATGCTTATATAATGGCTGCATAGTTCAAAGAAAGTGCATTTCCCAGTTCACACTAAGCTCAGTACAATGAAAAGTTTAATAAAAATCAGGCTTAATTTGCCATATGGTTTGGTGCTTCAACAAGAGCAAGGAAGAAAGAACAGGAGGATTGTCTGACATCTCCTCTGGCAAGACTGCTATTCTGAATACTGTCATAAACACAGCACTGTTCACATGAAAATTTCCTAGCTTACAATGTATTTACACAACGATGCTTTCCCAATTCACTGGCTGACAAAAAACAAGGCCAGATTACTTCTGCTGGAATGTTTACTTTGGGATGTCATTTTTACATTTCTAAAATACATAAATGACTTTCCCACAGTTACTGCTACCTGAAGCCCAGACAGAAACACTTATTTCCATAATTTGTTCATGGCTTTAGGAACTTCAGTGCAGGTTCTAATATTGAAAATGTCTGCACCATATGACAGTGGCTATGTGTTGCAGATAAAGACTCTTCATTCTTAGGAAATGGTCCAGTTAAGGTAGCACAGACCCAAGCACCCACCTACTGAGAATACAGAGAAGGCAGGCATACTTTATCTGACCTCCCAATTTCTACCTATTTCATTTTCCTTTGTTCTGATCTCACAATTCAGAAGGGCCTTGACATTGCATGGGCAGATGGTATAGACAGAATAGATGCCAGCTGAGCATCCCACAATAATATAGACTCTTGAAGGCTATTTCCTCACCCAGGAGCCAAACAACAGTGTTAGACATTACTCACTACCCCACACCTGATAACACTTTCCCATGTCAAGGGTGCATCGGGGAATAAATGAATTGAAAACTGAAGTGATCCATGTTAGCCTTGTCAGGACCACATATCTAGCACCAAAGACAAACCAATTTTTTTTTTTTTTCTTTTCGAAAAGGCAGAGACTGTACGATTCTTCTCAACTAAAAGACACTTTCAAGAAAACAGAATGTTACTTAGCTGACAGGATCTGCTTTTTGCTGAACCATGGCCAAAACATATTTACCAAGTGCTATTTTTCAGCTGACATTATGTATCCCTTCCAGCTAAACTCATTTCAGCAATGTGATCCCCCTGTTGTTACGAGTTTATCGCAAAAGTAAATCAGAATGTTCTCAAGAGAAGAAGAGAAATAGAAGCACAAAAACCACAATACCCCCAGAGAGAGACTTTACAGTTCTGCAACCCCAGCAAATCTGTCCTTAATAGCACCATCCTCATTTACCAGTTTCATTCTTTAAGAAGTGTTTGCCTCATCCACTTCCATAATTTCCTAGTTCTTGACACCACCTGAATTAGAGAGGCATCATATTAGCTTCACTTTTTAATTAGACAACAAATCCAGCCCTCAGACAGGAATATTTGGTTCAAACCCTGGTGCTTTTCATTTCAGAGCGTTACATTGTCTCTCTCGTGTTTTTTACTTTGGGGTGGGTGGGTGAGTGTGTGTGTGTGTGTTTGGTTTTGTTGTTTCCTCCCTCCCCTAGCCTCCTAGAGAGCAAATTTAACCATGGAATATTTAGAGGTGAACTATTTTTCCCTTTAATCACTATGCTCCACAAGAGTAAACCAATGGTTTAGACCCATTGTTTAGATATCGGATAAATATTTGAACAGACACTTCCTGTCCTGCCATACTAAAAATCCCTCTTTACAGTCAGAGGCTCCATCTGCTCTGTACTGACTCAATCTTTCAAGCAAAACAAATGCAAAATATTCCCATCATTATTCAAAAGCACTAACCAACAGAAACTGCTTCATTACTATAAGTTAAACATACAAAAACTGTGGTAAGAAAGCAATTTATATAATTTGCTGAATTTAATAATTTATTAAATCTATTGGTTCTCAATACCTCTATCTTCATTAACTAAATACTAGATAAACTAGTTAAGTGTGGGAACCAAATTCTGCTCTTTGACAAAGGGAGACGGCCAAATCTGACCTTTGCTTTCTCTCTAAGACTTTCCTCAGAATTCATTCAAGATACGGGTGATAGCCAAGAATATCCAGGTGATTTATTCACATAAGCAATGGTACCAGAAATCATAAAGCTTCTCTAAGTGACTATGCCCTTTGTTCATGATAATTAGGGATAAAACCAACACACTATATATGACCGTATATATTTTAGGTAACACTTTTTTCTTGTTCGCAAACATAGTAAGCTTTGCTGTTAGCTTCATTATAACTTCCTTTCATGATCACCAAACTTAAAAAATAATTATCAACCAAAACATATCAGGACAAATGCCCATTCAGTATGTTATTCAAAACACAAGCTAAGTTAATATAGGTAAGTATGA